GCGGGACGGGGCCCAGGGCGCGCGGCCCTGGAGGCGGAGGAGGCGAGCCCGGCGCCACCTGCTGTGCGGTGGCGGACCTGCAGCGCCTGCACCCGGAGCGTGGGACAGGTCTGTGACTTGCTGGGATGTCCTGTGGTCACTAAAACTCCTTACCAGACTGCAGGCTCTCCTGGGGCTGGAGGAAGTAAGCAGGCCTGCTGGAGAAGCTCAAATAGCAAAGCACTGATGTCGGCGCAGGGCACCGCGGCAGCCCCAGCCAACAGCTGGAGCCTCTGTCCTACCACCCACCGCCCTCACCGTGAGTGAGCAGATTCTTCCCCAGCCCAGCCTCCAGGTGGGAGTCCAGTCTGGATTCTCCCCAGTAGCCTTGTGAGACCCTAATGGAGGACTCTCGTGCCTGGACTCTTGACCCCTGAGCGTTCTGGTAATCTGTTACACAGCAATAGAAAACTGATCCAGGATGGGGGAGGATGAAAAGGGTAAAGGGGTCAAATATATGGTGATGGGAAATAAAGCTTTTGAACTCTAGTTACAATATTACTAGATTGTTATATTGTAAATCAGAAGGTGCCTTAATCAATAAGCCAAATTTATTTGGAGTCTTTTTCATTTTGGTAGCGCTAGCGGACCCAGAGGAAATATTGTTTCTCAAATTCTGGGGCCCAATATGGTGGAAGTCTTCCTTATTTATACTTTTTTCAACTCTTTGTCTTCCAAATTTGGAATGAGACTTCCGGACCTTCTGAGAAAGAAGACCTGTGTGCTGGGAAGGGGCCGTGAAACCATATCTCAAGGCATGGCCTGGTGCCAGCACTGACAGCTCTGTCTGGGGCATATTTTATGGCGTCTCTGGAGTGGGGAGTAGTCTTATTTTTCCCTGTTATGTAAGCAAGCAAACGTTTACAGAAGCCAGAATAGCAGGGTTAAAATTTTAAGCAGCAGTTTTTATCCAAGATGGTTGCTTCAAGACTACTGGTGGTGAGCACACAGTGCAATAGACAGATGATGTATTGCAGAACTGCATACTTGAAGCTTATATAATGTTAGTGTGGACAAAAAATGGGGCCACATACTAACCCTGACATGCTCAGCGGAGGCGTGTGTGGTGGGTCTTACAGATTCAGAGACCAAAAGTAACCACATACAACGGTCTGAACTTAAAATCCCTAACTGAAAGTGAGTCATGGGGGTTAGTCTCATCCCTATTGTCTTTTGCATCTAAGATAACATCTTTGGACTATCAGAGAAACTCCCTTTTTTCAGACCCCTCAGGGGACAACCTTCTACCTGGGCACAGGCCACAGAACCCTACATTATCTGCATCCTGCATACTATCTGTGCTGTAAATGTTAACTATCCTGCACCCCCAATGTAAAAAAAAAAAAGGTATGGCCCTCGTCGATTTGGCTCAGTGGATAGAGCACTGGCCTGCAGACAGAAGGGTCTCAGGTTTGATTCCGGTCAAGGGCACATGCCTGGGTTGTTGTCTTGATCCCTGGTGGGGTCATGCAGGAGGCAGTGGATCAATGATTCT